AATGTTTTATGTCCTTAATCATTATTTTGTCTTTTCTTTATCTGTTTAGATTTAATATAAGTACTGGTGTATCCACATTCATATCTAACATCTCATTCTGAATTGTCTCTTCTATTTTTCCAATCTGCTCTATGTTTATTTTCTCATTTTTTCCTCCCTTCAGTTAAAGAATTTTTACCATTATTGTCCCACTATTTTCTTCTTGATTAAATATTTTTAAAGTATCTCTTCAAGTGATCCTTCCTTATATGCCAATCTTACTGATGGTAGAAATAAATGCTGAATGGATAGTAGCTGGTCTAGGCATAGAATTTTCCAAATTATTTCCTATGGAGTATGGAAACAATTAATTATTCAAGATGTCTTTTATCAAAATGAAAAATTCTGTGCTTTAAAGAATATCATCAAGAATGTATAAAAATCAACCCATCCAGAATGGAAGAAAACATTTGAAAATCATAAATCTGCTAAGGGATTATAACCATAATATATAAAGGAGTGTTATAAGTCCTTAATAAAATAAGTTTAAAAAATAGCCTAATGTTCAAAAGATTAAAGTAGAACCATCTCCAAAGAAGATAAGTCAATAATCAGTAATCACATGAAAAGATGCTAAATATTTTTAGTCACAGGGAAATACAAATCAAGACCAATGAGAGACTACTTTTCACCCAGTACAATGCCTGAAATATGAAGACAGATGGTAAGTGTTGGGAATAGTGTGAAGGAATCGGACTCCTCCTATGTTGCTTATGATAATGCAAAATTGTGCATGTGCTTTGGAAAACAATTTGGCAGTTTTTCATAGACAAAAAGTTCCCCTATGGCCCAGCAATTCCATTAATAATATCTACTCCCAAAATATCAACACATATTTTCGGGCAAAAACATGGCCATCAATCTTCATAATTGGAAACAAGGAAAATTTCCATGAGCTGATGAATGGATAAATTAATTGTGGTATATCCACACTAAAGACTATTATGCAGCAATAAAAGGGGACAAAATACTGATACGTGCAACCACATGGATAAAGCTAAAACACAATATGCTTAGTGAAAAAGCTATTTCCAAAGCACCATAAATTATATGATTCCATTGATAGCAGATTTCTAGAGAGGGTGATCCATAGAGAAAAAAATTGGTATTTCCGTAGGGTCGGGTGTTTATGTGAAAAGACATCTATGTCTTATGAAGTTTATTTTGGGTTGATAAAATGGTTCTAAAATTATATTATGGTGATGGCTTCAAAACTCTGTAACATTAATAAAAATATTCAAATTTTATACTCTAAACAGGTGAATCTTATGCATTGTAAATTATACCTCATTATTATATCTATTAAAATAATTATAATATACAAGTAAATTTTTGAGTAAGAAAAAGGAATACATTCAGAAATTTTAAGTATTGAACTAAAATATTTTATCATAGTTTTACATTGATTACTCTTTTTAACTGTGAATTCTGTCTTGTTTTTTAAAATTCATCTGTTTTATACCTATCTATATATTGGAAGTTATTTTTATGTAGAACATTTTTGCACTAATTGTTTACTCATTAAATTTATTAGGTTCAATGCAACCGTGAAGTAACAGTCTAGTGGAAATGAAAGCAGATTTCACATTGGTTACATAACTGAAATTCGTTCAAAGTTAATTTACCAAAAAAGGGATTTATTTTACTCATTGTTGACATGAGAACCTATCTATAAATACCACTTTTTAAAAGAATTAGTGTACTCACATAGGGTTATTAATGACTGTCTTCAAAGCGCTGAGCAAATCTGTACTTGACATTGTGTTGAAGTCCACTCTAACAGCTGCTCCCTTGGCCTTCATGTGGGCAATGTTGTCTGGTTGATCCGCAAACAAAGGGATGCCCACCATGGGGACCCCGTGGTAGATGGCCTCATAGACGCCATTGGCTCCACCATGAGTTATGAAAGCCTTGGTTTTTGGGTGACCTAGAATTGGGTGAATATCAGTAGAATTATTCATTATAAGTCTTAGGAATAAAATGTGAAATGCACAATACAGGACACTGAAAGTGGTAATGTTTTCTCGGTAACAGATTAGAACACCCACGACACTGCCCAGAAATTGAATTCAGATTTCAGAGGAGGAAGCACCTACTGTTGCTGGAGAGGAAAGTGAGGCCTGCATGGAAGAAATGGTGTGGGAAGTGAGAATGGAAAAATGGATACAAGATTAGCGAGTAGAAAAGATGAAAAGACACATTTTGAGTAAAAGAAAAAAATGTGTGAAATATAAAAAAGGAAGAAGAAAAGGAAATGACTGGGCAGGTGTTCATAAAAACACGTTCTCTGAAGGCAACATGCAGTCAGGGAGTCTGACATGCGAGTGCCCAGGGCACAGGGAGAGTGCTGGGAGCAGGGCTGGGGTCAGAGGAAGGACAGGCCACGCTTCTCTGTGGAGGTGTCGTCACAGTGTAGTAAAGACCGGGATTTATTCCCATAGAAAATGCAGAGTCACTGGCAATAGAAGAGCAACTGTTCTTGTTCAGTGTCCTGTGGAATAATCCTGCGGTAGAGGAAAGGACAGGGGTGAAGTTGTAGAAGTAGAAACAGAGAGAACCCAGCAAGCTATTGAAAAATTCTCGGAGAGGCAATTACACCTGAAATAAAGATATTTTATTTTCGGACATAAACAATATGAGTGCATGTAACAAAATGCTCACTTGCTATAGTTTATTCTTTCCCCCAGGAATAAAAAATAAATATAAAGTTGTTAGGTTTTATTTTTGTGTTTTCAAAAATAAATATTCAATATGTTAGCTGCTTTTGAACTACTATCACTCTAATTGGCTGTTACACATATATTCAGTTTGTTTTTTCTCCAGTATCTTACCAAGAAGGTCATTCTGGGGCATCCACTTGAACAGCCGAGTATTGGGTCCTAAGGTATCTGGTTTCTTGCCATCAAATCTCCAAAGAACCTGTTAGGGTAAAGAAAATACCTTGTTCCATGGGCGATACTCCAAAGTTATGGCATGTTAGAACTTGAAAGAGATCGTCAATTATCCAGTTAAACCCTTCCCATATAAAAGAAGAAGAAATGAGAATAAGGTAGTTAAGTAATAAGAACTACTAAAACTCTGAGCTAAATAGAAAAACCGGATTTCATGTGCTTATTTTCTAATTAATTTGGTATCTAAGGAATTCTAAGTAACTTAGAGAAATTATATTTTCAATGACAAATGCAAATATTTAAGAAATCATTTGATAGTCAAGGTACTTCTTATAAAGTTATCATCTTATCTTATCATCTTATAAAGTTAATATTAATGTGTTTTTCTAAATGTTTTATTTTTAATTATTTTGGACACACAATAGTCGTAATTGTGTATGGGGTACATGTGATGTTTTGATACAGGCTAACAGTGTGTAATTATCAAATCATGGTAACTGTGGTATCTGTCACATCAAGCATTTCAGTGATATGAGTAATTGTTTAGATCTACTTGTTCTATAAGTAATTTCATTAGAGTTAGACATTATTTGGTTTACAAAACAGCAAATCAGTAAGATCAGCTACTTGCCAAAAATATATCAAGGCTGCATTGGTAGCATGAATGATACTGTTAGGAAATAAGTTATCAAGCACTTCTCCCAAGCAAAATTTTGAGGGGCAATTTTTGACAAAAACTTGGAGTGTTATTACTATTTGTAGTCTTGAAAATTCTTACAATGCAGAAAAGTGGAGCTGTTGCTTAGTTCAAAAAGTCTAAAATTGTATTCTGCTAAATTTTGCTTACTAGATCATTAACACTTAGATCACAGGCTACAGCAGTGATTCATATGGTCGCTATAACTAAGCCATTTCCAAGCCCACTACCCGAATAGCTACTGATTGCAGAATTCCCAGGCAGTCCTTATAAACTTGAGTTTAATTTAGGGGTGATTATCTCCAACTTGCTAGGTGAATATTACACAAATTTCGAGTTTTCATCAAAAAAGTAGCACAGATCATTAGGAGACATCTATGTCAGATAGAAAACTAAAAAGTAACTCATGAATACACATAGACTGCAAGTGTATTCTGTATATTAGTAAATAAGTTCCTACTATATTTTATTGAAGGGGCATCTGAACCTCTTCGCAATTCTGGCTTCCTTCTGATTGACTCCTTCCTTTATTCCATTCTCCTCCTCAATCAGGAGGAGAAGTTAATCTGGTGATTGGAGCAGAATTGTGGTGGGGCCACGTTTTATAATGCACAGGTGCTACTGCAAGGGCAGGATCCCATCTGCGTCTCTTCATTACACTCAGGCCTGTCTAGAGAGGCAGGAAAGGTTTTCTCTTTTTGTAAATCTACTCAGCTAAATGGGTATCTGGAGTAGTGATTTTTCAGCGTAGGGGGATTTTTTTCTCTGATCAGAATCCTGGACAAAGCACTGAAAAGGTATATTCCGAATTTATAGGAAGGTGCTTGCTTCGGCAGCATATATACCAAATTCATAGGAAGTACCAAGGTTAGATCGCATGGGAAGCCTAAACTGCAATGCATTGCAGACTATTTTTAATACCTGCTTCTTGTTATTGTGCTAGTGCAGATACTCATTAAAATTTAACCTCTTTCCAATGATGTCTATATTGTGTACAGAGCCTTCAGAAACATAGCAATAGGATCAAATGACACATAGAATTTGGTGATTTCTCTGTACATTCTTGCAATACCATGATAATACCAAAACTTTTCTGCACTTCTTAATTATGTTTGTTTATGACCACAATGTTAATGTCAAAGTTATTTAAAATGAAAATCTACATTGTTACCATTTAGCATCTTCCATATATATTTTAGTTTTTGAGCTGATATCTGAGATAATTAGAGCTATCCTAACAGTTAACCTTTTGGACAGAAGCTTATGCAGGTGTACTCTTTACAAAGTTGGACAGAGGGATTCAGTAGCTGTCCACCATTAGGCGCTTTCTCCAACCTTTTGTGGGATCTGGGCAAGGGCTGAAGCGATCACATTGGCCCTTTCTTCTGTCATGTTACTGAGCATCGACCCCAGAGAAAACACCACAACGCCGTTTTCTCCAGAGCTCTGGACAAAGTCTTCCATCTCCTGTGAAGAAAGAATGTGTTCCGTCACAAACAGGTATCAGTACAACAAACACAGTTGAAAGGATTTTTACAAACATCTAAGAGAAAATCAAGAATCAATGATTGTTCTTCTTTTGAGGAATTATTATTTTTTAACTGACCTAATCACAAAGTTTTCTGGAAGGAAATTTTCATTATGAGATAGATGGCTTCTATTTTACATATCTGTGCAAATATGTGTATGCATGTATGTATGTGTGTGGGAGGAAGAAATGAAGTGGAGCTGTTACAATGTAGTTGGGAGAGATAATGCTAAAAACAGATTATAGCCAGACTTTTCATTTATATTATTATATTTACTAATATAGGTTCTTGAATGTGGCTTTCCTTGAATTAATTGTATATGGTTAATGCTCTCTACTAAATCACTTGTGTTCATTTTAGGCATTTTCTGTAGAATTGGTTTAGTTTGGACCCATTGGAGCCTTCCTTGACTATGAGCTAGGAGGAAATCTTACTAAGGTTTAGGATGATATTTTATCTATATTTCTTTAGTTGTATAATCTTTTATACCTCACTTAATATCTGTCAGAGTTTCCCAGTCTTTTCCCCTAAAAATAAAAAGAACACACACACACACACACACACACACACACACACACTCTCACACACTTAAAAGCAGGAGGTTAAGAGTCGCTGATATTTAGGATTATGATACTGTGGTTTGGACTTTTAGAGAAATAGTCCCAAAGGTCCCATTTATAATACATAATTATGAGGACAGGGTAGAAAGTATCTAGCCATAGTTAATAGAACAATAAAACATAACAGGGGGGATAATTTCTGGACAGCTCTTCTATACGGTATATAGTTATACGGCTGAATAATCATATTTCTTACGTTAGTGTGTAGATATGAGGCATTTTATTTATCCTGAATTTGAATGATTAAACTGATGAGCTATTTATAACTGGCTGTGAGGGACTGTCATTGTCCCTCACTGTGTCCCACAGACAGCACCTGTGTCACTCGGGAGAATCACCAGGCTTTGTATCACGGAGATCTGGTCACTGTCTTGAGGACTCAATAACTCTCTATAAAACTCCTGGCGATTATGTGCTTGCTTGGAGTTGATTGAGAATTATTCTTACTGCTGTTTTCCGTTGTGTGCCACATTTTCAATTGAAATACATTCTATACAGGAATAATTGCAAATTGCTCCAAGTATTCTCCCACCAAAGAAAAAATCAAACAAACCAAAACAAACGAAAGAGAAAAAAAATAAAGGAAGAGTCAAGCGTTTCCTGGATTTTACATCAAAATCATATTCTCATTTTTTGTTGTTGTTCCTTTTACATTAAATTCATGCTTTTTATTCTCTGTGAAATAATCATTCCTCTAACATAACAAGTAAACTTTCATGTATTAATCCTTGGAGTAAACCTTCTCTGTAAAACAGTGTTTACAAAAAAAATTCCAAATTTGAAAAATATAGTTTTCACTAAATGACATTGGTTTTTATAGGAGAGTTACCATGTTACTTTTCCACATAATATATGGGAAAAGAGGATATTTGGTGTGAATCTAGTTCCCTGATGCTGCATTTCATGTAACTTGTTTTCATCATTTGTCTCCTGGGCTGACTGTCCCCCAAGGCATTGTGCGTCCATCCATTCAGTGTCAAACTAATGCATCCTCTTTACAGATTTATCACTGATCTCATTCTGTTATGTCTTTATGAAAATAATATAAGATCAATGTAAGCAATTTTGTGATGGACTGGAAATGTAAAACAAAGATAATGAGTTTCACCCAGATTCTGACCAGAGGTACTCCCAATTATATGTGTGTCCTATTATTATGGTTTTTATTCGGTTTATATGACATAATATAATTATGTGACATATATTTAGAAAATTTTCATCTTATTTTATATACCTTTCATCCAACAAAAAGTATGATATTGTTCTCTTCAGTGTTTTGCACCTTAGTTTCCAACTAATGTTGCATTCTGCTGACTATTTATTTTATGGTAAAATTATTGGTGTGGTATGGTATGCACATTGTATGAGTTTTTGATCATTTTTATGTAAGATATTTAAATTACTTTCAGTTTATTTTATGAATATCTGTCACAAATCTTAAATCTACTCATCTTGATTTATTTTTTGTCTGTACATTTTATGTAAGTATACTGTGAAACCAGCAGCTATGTCCATTTTTAAAACACTTGGTATATTTTGTCTAATGTCTTACTATTTTATTAGTAAAACACACAGGCATTATTTGAGAACCTAATATTTAGTGGAAAAGCAAGCAATTTGGGGTCACAATTACTATCATAATTAGAGAACAGATTTCAGATTAATAATAGATTAATCAGAACAGATTAATAATAATTAGAGAACAAAAGTCACAACTATTGACTTGACTTCAAATCATTATGCAAGTTAATTTCTATGGCTGGTATTAGTAATGATCACTATTGCACTACTAGTGAGCCTGCTCCTTGTCCATCTCATCATATTCTCTTCCCCCTCCTACTGGCACCATCACTTTCCCTTAATGTGAATGGATATATGTATTGAGAATATGTTTAGATTGCACAGAATTTCATTACTCTTACATCTCCTTTTGTCCCTTGTGGAAGTTATCATAATCAGTTTACATTCAAAATACATATTGAGTTTTACCTTTGAATAAGGCTTAAGTTTTAAGTTGGTGCTAATAAGAAGGTAGACAGTGGGACTGCAAACTAGTTCAACCTCTGTGGAAAGCAATATGGAGATACCTTAAAGCAATACAAGTGGATCTACTATATCTTCCAGCAATCCCATTACTGGGCATCTACCCCCACCCCCAAAAAAAGTCACTCTATGAAAAAGACACCTAAACTCGAATGTTTATAGCAGCACAATTCACAATTGCAAAGCTGTGGAAACAACCCAAGTGTCCATCAATACATGAGTGGATTAACAAAATGCCATGGAATACTAGTCAACTATAAGGAACAACAGTGATATAGCACCTCTTGTATGTCCCTGGATAGAGCTGGAACCCAATCTATTAAGTGAAGCATCCCAAGAATGGAAAAATAAGCACCACATGTACTCACCAGCAAATTGGTATTAAGTGATCAACACCTAAGTGGACATATAGGAATACCATTTATCTGGTGTCGGGCAGGTGGGGGGGAAGGGATGAGTATATACATACATAATGAGGGGGATGTGCACCAACTGGGGGGTGGACATGCTTGAAGCTCTGACTTCAGGGAGGAAGAGGGGCAAGGGTAATATATGTAACCTTAACATTTGTACCCCCACAATCTTCTGAAATAAATAAATAAATAGAAGGTAGACAAAAAAGATCTTGTAAAAGATCACATAGTAGGGCACTAAAAAACCGTTTTCTCCTTTATCTTAAAGTATGATATTAAAGTAAAATATATCAGGTTCTTAATTTCCTGCATAAGGAATATTTTTTTATATTATGGCAGAATTCTTCTGTAAATCAAATCTAAGGTCACTTCTCAGATACAAGTAACAGAATTTAGTTGGTCTTTGTTATATGTGGACTGTACATCTACTGTGACTTTCTCTGTTAGGCAGTTATGAAGTTGAGACAAAAGTTTTCCGGGCAGCTTTATTGAGGAGTCCTACAGACTTGACCTAAGGCAGGAAACTTTCTCTGATAAGGTAAACCTTCCTGTTTATGCTCTAAGGGGTAAAACTCTGGGATCTCAATGGGGAATGATCTGAATGCTGGAGTGAAACAAGAATAAGCAAGACTAATGGTGAAGAGCCTCAACTCTTACAATAATTAACCAAAACCAAACAAATAGGAATATATTCACCTTAGGCAGGGTTTTGGCAGGTTTGCAATGGAGTCCTCCAACGAATTCAATATTTGGCAAGAGTGGGCGAGGAAATTCCAAATCCCAATAGGTTCGAATAAGCCACATATCAGCTTTCTTCATTGTCTCATATAATGTAGTGGGTCTGCCTGAAGGGGAGACAGAAAAGAAAACATAGATGACACAAGAGAGTTGTCTTGAAATATAAAAGTAATTTCCTGAAAGGAGTTGTAATAATGTAGCCAAAGACATATAAAGTGTTTGTGTTTTGATAAAACATATACACATATTGATATACTGGCATGATTTAATTCCCATATACTCTATATGTTGCTCATAGGTTTGTATAAGAAAAGCAAAGTGCTAAGAGAATGTCATGTCACATCAGCATATTCACAATCATCAGTATATATTAACAGAAGCCACTGTGGAATTCCCCATGCAATTGTTTATTTTCTAAAGCTGCAATAGGAAAAAGTACTACAGTAATAGGGTATTGGGCAGGTGGAAGGGGGTAAGGGGGGTATATACATACATAATGAGTGAGATGTGCACCATCCTGGGGATGCTCATGCTGGAGACTCAGACTTGTGGGAGGAGGGGAGGAAAAGGCATTAATTGAAACCTTAAAATCTGTACCCCTATAATACGCTGAAATAAAAAAAACTCTTTGAGCATCACTATCAATTATTCCTGCCAAAATGATAAAAACTTCCTTCTAAAAGGTACTCAATTTTGTTTCTTCTATTTATAAAATAGAAGATCATGATCCTTAGTTCACCAATTATATCAACATTTTTTGTGAAAATATGGTTGAAATCCTTGTACCTATTACTACTTTTGGTTCATGTGAAGATCTTAATAATATTAGTATTTTAAAAATAAATATACTTGGAAATGACAGGTGGAAATTTTCAAAAGTTATAGAAATGAATAATTTTTGCTCCCCTTTCATTTAGCTCATATTTTTCATAATGTAGAGGTATATTTTAATAAAATATACATAATATTGAAAGTTCACATCCCAATAAGATTTTAGCCCTTAAAATAAATAATCTCCCAGCCCTTAGTGAAGGAATGCAGAAATATTAGAAACCTCAAATTTTAGGTATCTGTGTCTGAGACAGAGCCATCTCTTAACTGTGAAGGAATTCTTCTTATATAGCAAAAAATATTTTAATTTCTAAATAAGGAAAATAAGGTATACAAGGGGAAGCAATTTCCCCAATGCTACATTGGTAGTTGTACCAGAACAACGTGTGATTCCTCAGTCTACACGTCTGCCTTCATCAAGATATTTCTTGGTGTATCTATGAACTTTTATTAAAGATGAAAAAAGTGGATACTACAATGGATATGGGATTGCTTGAAGAAATCATGAATGGTTTATTTTGCACATTGATGACCATATGGAGTGGGCTGTAGGAGTGATGGCCACAAGGTTCTAAGTGATCCCATAATCTTTCCATAGTGTTTGTGTGATTGATAGATCATCTTATATTTTTCATTAATTGTTTCAAGTACAAAAGATACAGTCCTCTGACTTCATATTCATACAAGCTCACCTTCCAATTCACAAGGAAAGATAGGAATTAACAATCACAAATTAAAAACATGACTTACCCAGTACTTTACTGTAGAACTGATCCCACTCCTTCATATTCGATGTTTGGAACCAAAAGTCAAAATAAAGCACATATATCATATTTTTTACCCTCTCCATGAATGTCATTTGATCATTTAATTCTGACAGAGAAACTGGTACATAGGAAGGAGGGATTAGAAGTCCTCCACCATACTTTTCAAATTGGTAGCCAGGAGAGAAGCGGAGACTGTACACCAGGGGTGTTTTAAGTATCTCCGCCAGCAGCTCACCGCAGGGACCAAAGGCATCTGCAAGAACCACATCAAACTTTGACTCTTGTAGCCTTGTCATAAGTTTCTTGTTTAAAACTGTATCTTTACAGAGCTTTCTAATACAGTCAGAATATTCCCACATGATTTCTTCCACTTGTGAAAAATATGACCAAAATACATCCTTTGAGATTTTATATATTGCTTTGTTGATCAGTTTCACATAAAGATCCTCAAAGTCCTTTTTAGTTAAAGATGTGGGATAAACTTCAAATTTAATAGCAGATGTTTTGCTGGGATGAACAAGAATGGAAGCTGAAGATGCCAATACTGTCACCTCATGACCCCTCTGGACAAGTTCATCCAGGATTGTCTTCATGTTCATCCAGTGGCTGTATTCTGTGGGCCACACCAGCACCTTCCCGCAAGTCCCAGAGCTAAAGTGACCACTCAGTTGCATCAGCAGGAGAACTGAAGCCAATTTCATACCCATCTTGGTGAAATGCAATGCTTTTTATTCGAGTTGCTGGTCCTTTCTGTCATATCTCATGCTTATAACCAAGGACAAATTAATCAAGGTAAAATTTAACTCCTGTACTAAAAGTAAGTTGATCCTCTGAACAGTCTGAGAGTGTGGCTGGCAAGTGGACAAAGCAAAGGCAAGTGACCTCGTGTTCACTCAAGTGTGTTTAACGTCCCTTTCTGGTTATAAGTGCATTAATCCAGCTAACTTTGATGACCTTGCATGTGCAAGTAACATGTCTTATGTCATATATTTTAGAGTTCTGTCAAAAATAGTGGCAGGTAAGAGGCTCCTGGGTCTGCAGTCCCGTCACACAGAACTAGAAATAAAATAATTATACAGCTGAGTCAGTATTTCTCGCATATCATGCTTTAAATATTTTTTTGTAAAACTGTTTTGGTGTAAAATGCACATGCCATATTATTCACCATTATTGTTTAAAATTCAATATTTCTTAGTATACTCACAGAATTGTGCATCTACTACAACAAATAGTTTTAGCTCCCTAAAAGAAACCCTGTGTACTTTTGCTTTTATCTCCCCACTCTGCATTTTCCCATCCTGTCTGCTCTAGGTAATCATTAACTTAATTTTTGTATCTATAAATTTGCTTCTTCTGGAAAGTTTTATAAAGAGAATACAAAATATGTGGTCTTCTGTGACTGGTATTTTTCAATTAGCATAATGTTTCAAGAGGATCATCCATGCTATTCCTTATTGCCAAATAATATTCCATAGTATGGATATAAATATTTTATTTATTCATTTATCAAGTGATGGACGTTGATTCTGTTTGGGTGTTAGCTTTTGTGAATAATGTTGTTAATCAGCATTCATGCAAAAGCTTTGAGTCAGCATATTTTAATTTCTCTTTGGTATGTGCCTATAAGTAGAATTACTGGGTCATATGCTACCTGTATGTTTATCCTTTTGGGAAATTGCTAGCCTGTTTTCCGCATTGGCTGCACCTTTTTTCATTGCCACCAGCCTTCCTGAGGGTTTCAATTTCTCCACATCCTGGCAGGCACTTTTTATTATCTATCTTTTGATTATAGTCAGTGAGAGTGAAGTGATATCTCATTATGTTTGACATGTGCTTGTTTTCTAAAAGTGCTGAGAGTGTTTTTCTTGTGCTTATCATCCATTGTATATTTTTCTTGGCAGAATTTCTACTGAAATCTCTTCTTCCTTTTTGTTTTGCTCATTTGTCTTAGTATTGAGTCATATTTTAATATTTTATTATTGAGTTACATTTCTAAAATATATTTTTTTAAATAGCTCTTCATGAGACATATAACTTATTCTCTTGTCAACAAGGAAGATGAGAGTCATCTGTTTTAAAGTAGTTTAATATTAAAAGAATTTAAATTATATAACCAATGTGAAACCTGCTTTTCCACCAGTTATTTCACAGTTGCTTTGAACTCTAAAAATTTAATGAGTAACCAATTAGTGCAAAGATCATCTACATAAAAAAAGCACTGTTCAGGAGGAAACAGAAAAATATCTCCTACATGCTCAAAACAACCCGACATGGCCCTTGCTTTCCAGGGCCAAGCAGTCCAGGCAGGGGTGAAGGGCCAACAGAGGACAGGAAAACTGATTTTGCTGTGATGCCAAGGGTAGCTGCGTCCTTCGTGGCCTGAGCTGCCTGATGGTGTCTGTTGCCACCAGACCGTCTGTCTGCTGATGACCAAGGCAATGAACTACAGCTACTTCCTCAGGGGCTAAAATGGCATCTAGCAAGGCTAGGATTTCTTTGGTATATTTTATTTCTTTATTACTGGACTTGAAGTGTCCCCTTTATTTCCAGATCACTCATGTGCATGAACAACAGGAAAAGCATACCTGGAATCCAGGTAATGGTCACTTGTGTGCCTTTATCTAGTTGGAGTGCCAGACAAGGGCTGTGAGTTCTGCCTTCTGTGCCGAGGTTCCAGAAGGGAGGACTTCAGCCCTAATATGTGTTGATGGGTTATCACTGCATATCCAGCTCTCCATTGTCCCTGATCTATAAAGCTACTTCCATCGGTAAATATCTCTAGGTCTGAGTTTTCCTAGGGGTGCGTCATTTAGATCCACCTGGCTAGAATCAACTCATCCAATTATTTGTAAACACTCATGCACAGGTTCAGATGCCATTTGGGGAAGTAAGGTGTCAGAATTTAAAGTAGAGTCTGCTCTCAGTGTTATATTTGGAGTGTCCAAAACGATGGTCTGATGTATATCAAGCCTCCCAAGGCCAGCCAGTATTCTCCTGTCTGTTCCAGTAAGGGGAGTACACAGTGGGGTGTGCAGAGTGGAGGGCTGGCCTATTGTAAACTTCTCTGCCTCTTGAGGCAGGTGACAAATGGCAACCATAGCCCAAATGCAAGAAGGTCATCCCTTTGTGACAATGACCACTTGCTTGAGAAATAAGCAATGGGTATATTAATATTTCCCAGGTCCAGATGTAGCACTCCTAGACTCAGTCCTTGCTTCTTATGCACAAAAACATCAAAAGGTTTTAATATATTTGGGAGCCCCAATGCTGGGGCACTCAACAGTTATTCCTAGATATTTCAGAAAGCCTTTGCAGTCCCCAGTTAACTCTAACAGTTCATTATCTCCTCCCCTTAAGGCATCGTACAGAGGCTAAGCAATAAGTCCCAAGTTGGGAATCCAGACGTGACAGAAACTGGCCACGTCTCAGACTCCACAGTTGTTGTCAAGTGAGAGATCTGGCTGCTCTGCAAAGGGCCTCCGTCCAATCAGGGAGCAGGTTTCTCTGTCACTGGGAAAACCTGAACCCAAGATGTTTAACTGAACGCTATAAAATCTGAGCCTTTTTCTTGGATACCTTGGATAAAGCCAGGAAGTTTAGAGTCAGAATAGTGCTCTTGTTGGATGCCTTTTTCTGTGGTGCCGACAACTAGTATGTCATCAACATATTGTGGTAAAGTCCTAATTTAACTGAGATCTCAGAGGTCTTTTGCAGGAATCTCCCCAAGGATGGGAGGGGAGTTTTTAAAGCCCTGGGGAAGAGCTGGCCAATAGTGTTGTTGCCTTGATTGCATATCTGGGTCCTCCCATTCGCAATCTAGCAGTTCCTGTGAGTCTGGGCTCCCAGGGATGCAGAAGAAGCACCTTTTAAATCTGAGAGCCTGACCCAGCAGAGCACACCAGTCAGGGTTGTGAGCAGTGTGTAAGGGTTGGACAGTTTTCAACAGACATTAAAACTACGAAATACTATACCCAAATGATGGAAAGAATTCGAAGCATGTGTAAAACAATATTAATACTGATCAAAGATATATTGATGGTCTCATGTTCATGTACAATATGGAAATGATAAATTTTGATAAATAGTTTGATATAATTTCTGAATTGGAATAGTACATGTCTACACAAACCCATATCATATTTAATTATTTTTACTTTTCCCCCAGCTTTTCTTTTCACTTCAGAATAAAATATTTCTAACTTTTAAAATGTATCAATAGTGACAGAAACAAACTTTGATTTGACAAATTAAATTGTGAAAAGTCTAGTGGTACAGGAGGAAGGGAATCTTGCATCATAAACTCTTCTTCTTCGAATAAAATGGAGGAGTTGCATCCTTCAGGGATTACAGCTTCAAACCTCCATCTAATTATTCTCTTTTTTCTTTCTTTCCTGCTGTAGCAAACATCCGGTTGAAAAACAGACAACACTTTGTGATGACGAATATAGCAGTGGCCACACAGGCCAGCAGGAACCCAAGCACATCCAGAGAGTGGTAATGGAACCAGGTGAGGTTGTGGGCTGCAACCCGAAGGTGTTTGGCTCCTTTGTGGCGCATGACAAACTCGATCCAGAAGACTGCTCTATCCAGAGGCTTCATTGGCTGATCATGTTGAATTCTTGATAATTTCATAGCATTCTCTTTATACCTGAAGGAAAAACATCAACATTCCAACATCAAAATACGTTTATTGCCTAAATATCTAAAATCTAGGAAAGATTTTTGCAAAGTATCAAAATTAATGCCATAGAATTGCCTTAGAGAAGTACACTTTTACTTGGGTGATTATAGAAAGTTTGGCTTTTATTTATTTACCTTTTTTAAACAGAGTCTCTCACTGTTGACTGGGCTAGATGTCATGGCATCAGCCTAGCTCACAGCAACCTCAAACTCCTGGGCTCAAGCCATCCTCCTGCCTCAGCCTCCTGAGTAGCTGGGGCTACAGGCATGTGTCACCATGCCCGGCTAATTTTTTTTATATATTTTCAGTTGTCCAGTTAATTTATTTCTATTTTTTTAGTAGAGACGGGGTCTCACTCTTGCTCAGGCTGGTCTCCTAGTCCTGAGCTGAAATGATCCACCTGCCTCGGCCTCCCAGACCGCTAGGATTACAGGAGTGAGCCACCACGCCTGGCCAAGTTTGGCTTTTAAATAGAAATTTTGTCATTAACAAATACATACATTAAAGCATATAGGAAAAAATATATACATCTATTTGCTTATTTATTTATTTTTCATAGAGATAAAGTCTTATTCTGTTGCCCAGGCTGGAGTTGGTGACATGATCATAGCTCACTGTAACATTGATCTCCTGGCTCAGAAGATCCTCCTGCCACAGCCTCCTGAGGAGCTAGGACTAGAGGAGTGCTCCTCCATGTGCAGGCTAGTTTATTTTTAAATCATTATAGAGATGGGGTCCTACTGTGCTGCCCAGGTTAGTCTCCAACTTGTAGCCTCAAGTGATCCTCCCCCTTAGGCTCCCAACGTTCTGGGATTATAGATATGAACACTCACATCGAACCAAGAAATATATTTAAAATGGAAAATGGAAAGTTAATATCTCTCTAGCAGAGGAAATAATATGAGCCATTCTCAGTGTTAGAAGTAAGATAGTGGAAATGCAAGCTGAGGATGGTCATCTTGATTTTAAAAGGGAATCATGTCATGATGGTTGAAATGCCTCCTAACCGGTCTCTCTGCTTCTACTCTCCTCCTCTGTCTTCTACACTGTTTCCCACCTAGTACTCAGAATGAATTTCTTTTAAACAAATGTCATGTAAATTATGCTCCCTGGTTAAGATTTCCATCTGGCCTCTCATCACATTAAGAATAAAATCGAACTCTGCTCTTTGGTCTACAGGTTCCTACATCATCAGGCTCTGGATCATCTTCCCTTAATACTTTCCCCTGGTGCACTGTCTTCTAGGGACATAGACCCTCTATTGTCCTTTAAGCGACCACGTGCTTTCTCACCTTAGCACCTGTAAGGTTTGTGTCCCCTCTCTCTCTCTCTCTCTCTCTCTCTCTCTCTCTTTGTGCATTCTTCCTTGAAACCACAAAAGCTTTGCCTCTATCTCTTTTGAGGCTTCCCCTTAAATGTTCCCTCTCAGAGAGGCTTCTCCTGGTGTGGTAGCACATGGGTAGGACTTCCTGTTTCTTTAATGTGCTTATTTTTCTTTTAGATCTTAGAATTTTAAAACATGTTGTATATCCTTTCAAATAAACACTTAAATGTAAAAGGTAAATGTACATACTGTAAGTAAGCAGCTCAAATGTTCAAAATCACCTGAAAAATTATTATGAAGACACCGTATACACATTACTCAGATCATAATATTTGGTATCACACCTGTCTAGTAGTATCCCCTTTCCATAGAACACTTTAGTCACTACCCCCATCTTCAAATTAAGTATTATCCTGACTTCTAACACCGTAGATTAGCTTTGCTTATTTGTGTAACTGAGTCATATAGTGTGTCCTTATTTGTGTCTGTGTTTTTTAGAGCAGTAGTTTGTTAATTCCATTGCTATGTAGTATCTCTTGCTTGACAAATGCTACAAATTATCTCTTCATATTATGATTGACAGACATTTATGATGTTAACATTTTTGAACACTACTAACAATTCTGGTATCAACATTCTAGTATATATATCATCAGGTTTATATGTTTATACATTTTTGCTTCTTATATACTTGGGCAGGAATTATGGAGATGAATGTATATATATAATTATGACTTTCTTGTTGACTGAATTTTATCAAAATGTATTTTTAATGATTAAAATATAAAACAAATGATCATTTCTTTGACTATTTCTAACTTATATATACTATGGCTAGACCATATATCTTTATGATTATCAATTTTTTTAAATTTATTGACTATTGATCTATAACTATATGGTCTATTCAGGTAACTGAATTTCATATATATATATTGCATATGTATTTGCTACACATAATTATGTATATGCATATCACATAGCTTACTTTTTTTTTTTTTACCATTCACAAAAATGTATTTGGGATCAATTATAAACCTAAATGTAAAGCCTAGTTTCATAAAGTTTCTAAAGAAGACATAGGAGGATATCATAACTTTGGAGAAGACAAAAGTTTCCTACACAGGATGCAAAAAGCTCTCACCACAAAGGTTTTGGTTAAAGTGTGTTCTCCAAATGTTTTATGTCCTTAATCATTATTTTGTCTTTTCTTTATCTGTTTAGATTTAATATAAGTACTGGTGTATCCACATTCATATCTAACATCTCATTCTGAATTGTCTCTTCTATTTTTCCAATCTGCTCTATGTTTATTTTCTCATTTTTTCCTGCCTTCTGTTAAAGTATTTTTACGATTTATGTGCCACTATTTTCTTCTGTTGATTAAATATTTTAATAGGTATCTCTTCAAGTGATCCCTTATATGACCAATCTTACTGGATGTAGAAATAAATGCTGAATGGATAGTAGCTGGTCTAGGCATAGAATTTTCCAAATTATTTCCTATGGAGTATGGAAACAATTAATTATTAAAGATGTCTTTTATCAAAATGAAAAATTCTGTGCTTTAAAGAATATCATCAAGAATGTATAAAAATCAACCCATCCAGAATGGAAGAAAATTTGAAAATCATAAATCTGCTAAGGGATTATAACATAATATATAAAGGAGTGTTATAAGTCCTTAATAAAATAAGTTTAAAAAATAGCTAATGTTCAAAAGATTAAAGTAGAACCATCTCCAAAGAAGATATGTCAATAATCAGTAATCACATGAAAAGATGCTAATATTTTTAGTCACAGGGAAAACAAATCAAGACCAATGAGAGATACTTTTCACCAGTACAATGCCTGAAATATGAAGACAGATGGTAGTGTGGGAATAGTGTGAAGGAATCGGACCTCCTATGTGGCTTAGATAATGAAAAATTGTGCATGTGCTTTGGAAACAATTTGGCAGTTTTCATAGACAAAAAGTTCCCCTTATGGCCCAGCAATTCCATAATAAGTATCTACTCCCAAAAATATCAACACATACTTCGGTAAAAATCATGGCACATCAATCTTCATAATGGAAACAGAGGAAAATTCCATGAGCTGATGAATGGATATTAATTGTGGTATATAACATCACACAGAGTATTATGCAGCAATAAAAGGGACAAAATATGAAACATGCAAACATACATGGATAAAGCTAAAACACAATTGTGCTAGTGAAAAAGCTATTTCCAAAGCACCATAAATGTATATGATTCCATTGATAGCAGACTTCTAGATGAGGGTGATCATAGAAAAAAATTGGTATTTCCTTAGGGTCGGTGTTTATGTGAAAAGACCATCAGTCTTATGAAGTTTATTGGGTTGATAAAATGGTCTAAAATTATATTATGGTGATGGCTTCAAATGTGTAACTTATAAAAATAAAAATATTTAAATTGTATACTCAAGCAGTGAATCTGTATGCATTTGTAAATATACCCTCATTAGTCAAAATCTATTAAAATAAGATATGAATATACAAGTAAATTTTTGAGTAAGAAAAGGAATACATCAGAAATTTTAAGAATTAAACTAAAATATTTATTCATAGTTTACATTCATTACTCTTTTAACTGGAATTCCGTCTTGTTTTAAAATTATCGTTTCATACTTATCTATATATGGAATATTTTATGTACGAACATGATTTGCACTAATTGGTTACTCCATTGTAATTTATAGGTTCAAGCAACTTGAAATAAAGTAGGGGAAATTAAAACAGTTCACATGTGTATATAATTTAAATTCTTCAAGTTAATTCTACTTAAAAGAGGGAGTTTATGTTACTCATTGTTGACATGAAGGAACGTATCTAAAATACACTTTTGTGAAAAGAAGATTAGTGTACTCCACATAGGTTATTAAGACTGTCTTCAAAGCACTGAGCAAATCTGTACTTGACATTGTGTTGAAGTCCACTCTAACAGCTGCTCCCTTGGCCTTCATGTGGGCAATGTTGTCTGGTTGATCCGCAAACAAAGGGATGCCCACCATGGGGACCCCGTGGTAGATGGCCTCATAGACACCATTGGCTCCACCATGAGTTACAAAAGCCTTGGTTTTTGGATGACCTAGAATTGGTAAATTTTCTCATTATATCTCTTAAGGAATAAAATGAGAACTGCATACTACAGAACACTGAAAATGGTAATGTTTTCTAGATAGCTGGTTAGAACACCCAAGACACTGCCCTGAAATTGCATTCAGATTTAGAGGAGGAAGCACCTATTATTGCTGGAGAGGAAAGTGAAACCTGCATGGAAGAAATGGTGTGGGACTCGAGAATGGAAAAATGAATACAAGATTAGCAGGTGGACAAAATGAATAAAAGCACATTATGGATAAAAGAAATAAAATGCACAAATAAAAAAATGGAAAAGAAAAGGGTTAGTCACATAAGAACACGTTCTCTGAAAGCAACATGCAGTCAGGGAATCTGACATGCGAGATGCCCAGGGCACAGGGAGAGTGCTGGGAGCAGGGCTGGGGTCAGAGGAAGGACAGGCCACACTTCCCTGTGGAGGTGTCGTCACAGTGTAGTAAAGACCGGGATTTATTCCCATAGAAAATGCAGAATCCCTGGTAATAGAAGAGCAACATTATGTTTCAGTGTCATGTGGAATAATCCTGCAGTAGAGGAAAGGACAGGGGTGAAGTTGTAGAAATAGAAACAGAGACAACCCAGCAAGCTATTGAAAAATTTTCAGAGAGGCATTTACACCTGAAATAAAGATATTTTGTTTAAAGAAAATGAGTGCATGTAACAAAATGCCAACTTGCTATAGTTTATTCTTTTCCCCAGGATTAGAAAATAAATATAAAGTTGTTAGGTTTTATTTTTTGGTGTTCAAAGATGTGTGTTAGTTGCTTTTGACCTACTATTCACTCTAATTGGCTGTTACACATATATTCAGTTTGTTTTTTCTCCAGTATCTTACCAAGAAGGTCATTCTGGGGCATCCACTTGAACAGCCGAGTATTGGGTCCCAAGGTATCTGGTTTCTTGCCATCAAATCTCCAAAGAACCTGTTAGGGTAAAGAAAATACCTTGTTCCATGGGCAATACTCCAAAGTTATGGCATGTTAGAACTTGAAAGAGATTGTCAGTCATCCAGTTAAACCCTTTCCATATAAAAGAAGAAGAAATGAGAAGAAGAATGTTTAAGTAATAAGAACTACCAAAATTCTGAGGTAAATAGAATAACCAGATTTCATCTGCTTACTGTTCTAATTAATTTGGTATCTAAAGAATTCTAAGTAACTTAGAGAAGTTATATTTTCAATGATATATGCAAATATTTAAGAAATCATTTGATAGTCACAGTACTTCTAGTATAAAAACATACATTAATAATTATCAATTCATTTATTTTATGCTAGCTATCATCTTATAAAGTTAATATTAATGTATTTTTTCCAAATGTTTTAGTTTTAATTATTTTGGACACATAATAGTTGTAATTGTGTATGGGGTGCATTTAATGCTTTGATACAGGTTTACAATGTGTAATTATCAAATCATAGTAATTGTAGTATCTGTCACATCAAGCATTTGAGTAATATGAGTAATTGTTTACATCTACTTGTTCTATAAGTAATTTCATTAGAGTTAGACATTATTTGATTTATAAAAAAGCTAATCAGTAATATCAGCTACTTGCCAAAAATATATCAATGCAGCATTGGTAGTATGCATGATACTGTTAGGAAGTATGTTATCAAGCACTTCTCCCAAGCAAAATTTTAAGGGGCAATTTTTGACAAAAACTTGGAGTGTTATTACTATTTGTAGTCTTGACAATTCTTACAATGCAGAAAAGTGGAGCTGTTGGTTAGTTCAAAAAGTCTAAAATTGTATTTTGCTAAATTTTTCTTACTACATTAACACTTAGATCACAGGCTACAGCAGTGATTCATATGGTCACTATAACTAAGCCATTTCCAAGCCCAGTACCCGAATAGCTACTGATTGCAGAATTCCCAGGCAGTCCTTATAAACTTGAGGTTAACTTATAAGTGATTATCTCCAACTTGCTATGTGAATATTACACTAATTTCAAGTTTTCAGCAAAAAAGTAGTGCAGATCATTAGAAGAGGTCCATGTCAGGTAGAAAACTAAAACATAATTCATGAATACACATAGACTGCAAGTGTATTCTGTATATTAGTAAATAAGTTCCTACTATATTTTATGGAAGGAACATCTGAACCTCTTCCCAATTATGGCTTCCTTCTGATTGACTCCTTCCTTTATTCCATTCTCCTCCTCAATCAGGAGGAGATGCTAATCTGGTGATTGGAGTAGAATTGTGGTGGGGCCACGTTTTAAAATGCACAGGTGCTACTGTAAGGGCAAGATCCCATCTCCATCTCTTCATTACACTCAGGGCCCATCCAGTGAGGCAGGAAAGGTTTTCTCTTTGTGTAAATCTACTCAGCTAACTGGGTACCTGGAGTAGTCATTTTTCAGCTTAAGGCCCATTCTTTCTCTGAGCAGAACCCTGTACAGCACACTGAATAGGCATATTCCAAATTTATAGGAAGGTGTTTATATACCAGGTGCTGCATATATACTAAATTTATAGGAAGTACCAAAGGTTAGAGCAAATGGGAAGCCTAAACTGCAATTCATTGCAGACTTTATTCAATACCTGCTTCTTGTTATTGTGCTAGTGCAGATACTCATTAATATTTAACTCCTTTCCATGATATCTATATTGTGTACAGAGCCTTCAGAAACTCTGTTAGCAATAGGATCAAATGACAGGTAGAATTTGGTGATTACTCTGCACATGCTTGCAATACCATGATAGTACCAAAAGTTTACTGCACTTCTTAAGTATATTTGTTTATGACCACAATGTTAATGTCCAAGTTATTAAAAATGAAAATCTGAGGGGGGAGATCAAGATGGCAGACTAGAAACACCACCAGACAGAGTGTCTCTGCAGAAACGACAGATTCTAGCAGAAATTAGAAAAAAGAAGCAAGAAGTCGAACATACAGCAGCCAAGGGCTGGAGGAGGTACCTGAGACCCCGGGAGACTCCACGGGAGGAGGCTGCGGAGGAGAACTGGAGGCTGAGGACCGCCAGAGCAGCCTGGGAGACCAGCGAAAAGGGTAGGTGGATCAGTCACCTTTCCTCCCTGCATTTGGGGTGCTGGTGGCTCCCGCAGGTGGAGAGACCTGCAGACACAGCCAGAGTCCACCACCACTACCAGCGGTGAGCCTGTAGCAGACTCTGCACCAGCTCCCAATTCCCTCGGGCACCTTCTGTGTGCACAGACCCGAGCCGCGCGGCAGGCGCTGCATACTGCTTCAACCTCCCCTTCCCGACCCTACCCTAGGCTGCCCAGAGAGACAATACAGCCACCAGCCAGAGGCACCTCCAGGGAACAGGACCTTCCCTTTTGGACCTTACAGCTGACTCAGGGAACTCAGACTGTGAGCTCCTACCCACCAGACTTCCCAGGTGCTGCTGGCACGTGTTCGCAGGAGAACGTGCCGACTCAGAGCTTGAAGACATAGACCCAGCTTGGGCTCCCTGTGGGTGAATTGGGACTGGAAGTCCTCTCCCTGGTGGGGTACAGTTTGAACTCTGGGACCCTGAGTCCGACCTGCAGACCACATCCCATGCACCCAGGTCTAGCATTGCCCGGGGGCACAGAAGGGATAAAACGTGAACAGCGCCTGCTGAGTGTGTGTGCCTTCAGGGGCAGAATCAGCGTCATAGAGGGCAACCCTCCACCAAAGGAGAGGTGGTGCCCCAGCCCAGGCAGCGTTTCTGCACAGGGAACCTCCCGCCAGCATCATAATCCGGGAGCTTGGTGACGTGTGGTCTGGCCTTGCAGGCAGAGGCCCAGGAGTAGCTGTGGAGTTGGGAGTTGACAAGAAGTGAGACCGTTCCAGACTGCAGCTCTCAGACAGACCCACCCACAAGCAGACTTTCTGGCTGAGCGGGCCATTCCATCCCCACCCTGACAGCTTTCCTGGAAGCCGGAGAACAGAACTTTGACCCCTGCTAACCGCATTGGTGGTGCCTGGGGCAGGCTTACCCAACCCAGCTCCACCCAGAACAAGGGCTGATAACAGGACACAAAACAACAGCATAGCCTGTTCCTCCAAGCAGACGCCATCCTACTGAAAGGGACGGCATCCTGCACAGCCTTTTCAGCGGCACCCACTGACTCATTATACAGGGAATAGTCGAATCTCACCCACAGACACCACCTAGCGGCTCAGGTAACTAAACAAGTGTTTGAATACCAAACAAAAACCTAAAGGAAAAAACAACAACTGATCGACATGGGAAGGAAATCAGCAAATTACTCAGGACAATATGAAGAACCAAACGGAAAACACACCCCAAAGAGAGCATCAGCCCCTAGAAACGGACACCAACCCAATCAGGCAACCAAAATGACAGAAGAGGAATTTCATATGTGGATCATAGAACTCTCACCAACCTGCAACAACAACTCAATAACCAACACAAAGAACCACAAAAAGCCTCCAGGCTAGAACAAAAGTTCACTAAAAAAGTAGACACAAGGGAGAAAGGTTTAACTGAACTCCTGGAAATGAAGAATCAATTCAGGGAACTACAAAATACAGTGGAAAGTCTCCAGAACAGGGGTAGATCAACAGAAGAAAGAATCTCAGAGCTTGAAGAGTAACACCCTCCAACTAAATAACACCGTCACAGAGATAGAGCAGAGAAACAAGAGAAAGAGCAAAGCCTACAAGAGATGTGGGATTGTGTGAAGAAACTACAGTGAGGGTCATAGGGTTACCAGAAGGGGAAGAAGACAACACTCAAGAGTTGGACAAGCTATTTGAAGATATAATAGAGGAAATTTCCAGGCCTTGCTCAAAATCTTGATATACAAGTTCAGGAAGCTCAGAGGACTCCTGGGAGATTCAATGCAAACAGGAAGACGTCACGACATGTAGTCATCAGACTGACCAAATATCAACTAAAGAGGCCCTTCTAAGAGCTGTAAGATGAAAAGAAGCAAGTGACATACAAGGAAAGCCATTCGAATAACACCAGGACTTCTCTACAATGAGACTTTACAAGCAATGAGAGACTGGGCCCCATTCTCACTCTTCTGAACAAAACAATGCCCACCCTAGAATATTATTCCCTGCAAAACTAAGCTTCATATATGAAAGAGAAATAAAAACATTTTCAGACAAGCAGAGTCTCAGAGAAATTCACGAAGACACAGACCAGCCCTACAAGAAGTACTCAAAACAGTGTTATGCACGGAACACCATAATAAAAATTTACGAATATAAAACAACAACTCAAAGATTAAAGACCAGATATACAATGGCTCAAGAAAGAAATCAAGCAACAACATCCAACCCAACAGAATGAACAGTATCTACCTTGGCTATCAGTTCTCTCAATAAATGTAAATGGTTTAAACTCTCACTCAAGAGACATAGGCTGGCTGAATGATAAGAAAATACAGGCAAGTATATGCTGTCTTCAGAAAAACATCTAACCTGCAAGGATGATATAGACTAAACTAAAAGGGTGAGATCAGTATTCGAGGCAAGTGGAAGCCAAAGAAGGCTGCGTGACAGTTTAATTTCAGACGATTTAGTTTTTAACCAACAAAAAGTGAAAGACAAAGGGTCATTATATAATGGTGGAAGGGCACGTTCAACAAGAAGAGATAACAATTTACATACTATATGCACCCAACTTAGGTGCACCCAGTTTCATAAAGCAAACCTTACTGGACTCAAGCTATTGATTAATAGCAACTTCATAATCACAGAGATTTCACCACACCACTGACAGCACAAGACAGATTCCTCGAACAGAAAATTAATAAAGAAATACATGAACTTAACAAACTGGAACAACTGGCTCTGACTGACATCTATAGGACATTCTTACCCAAAACCACTGAATATATGTTCTTCTCATCAGCTCACGGACATTCTCTAAGGATTAACCATCATCCTAGGACACAAGTATAATCTCAAGAGAATTTAAAAATATAAATCATACCATGTACCTTCTCAGATCACAGTGAATAGAAAGTAGAAATCAACTGTAACAGAAAACTCACATTTCTACACAAAAATGTGGAAATTAAATAAACCTCCCTACTAATAGTTACTTCATAAATGAAGAGGTCAAGATGGAAATAAAAAAAAATTCTATGAAAAATGACGGAATGTAGAGACAGTTATAAAATCATCTGGACACAGCTAAAGCAGTTCTGAGAGGAAGTTTATCTCCTAAATGCCTATGACAAAAGACAAAAAGATCAACAAATAGACAATCTAACAAAATGACTCAAGAGCTGGAAAAAGAAGAACAGAACAACCCCAAACCCAGCGAAGAATGAAATCAACAAGATCAAATCAGAACGAAACGAAAATTGAAAACAGGAAGCTTATTCAGGAGATTAATAAAACAAAAAAGTTGGTTCTTTGAAAAAATAAACGAAATTGGACACTCATGGCTGAAGCTAATGAAAAAGCAAAAAGAGAAATCTTTAATAAGCTCCATCAGCGAACACAAAGGAGATATCACAACTGATCCCAAAAGAGATACAAGATATAATTCATGAATGACTAAAATAATCTTTATGCACACAAACTGGAAATGTGGAGGAAATGGACAAATTTCTAAGAAACACCAGCCTCCCTAGGCTCAACCAGGAAGAAATAGATTCCCTGAACAGACCAATCTCAACAGCTGAAAGAACAGCAATTAAAAATCTCCCTAAAAAGAAAAGTCCGGTCCGATGGCTTCACACCCAATTTTACCACACTTACAAAGAAGAACTAGTACCTATCTTGCAGAAACTATTCCACAACATCGAGAAAATGGAAACCTTCCCCGACACCTTTTATGAAGCAAATATTACTCTGATACCAAAACCAGGAAAGGATTGCAACAAAAAAAGAAACTACAGACCAATATCCCTAATGAATTAGATGCAAAATTTTCAACAAAATCTTAGCTAACCAATCAGACGCTATCAAAAAAATAATCCATCACGACCAAGTGGGCTTCATCCCAGGGATGTAGGGATGGTTCAACATACGTAAATCTATAAATGCAATTCACCACATAAACAGAGCAAAAACAAAGACCACATGATTCTTTCAAGAGATGCAGAAAAACCTTTTGACAAAATTCAACACCCTTTCATGATACGAACACTTAAGAAAATAGCATAGAAGGGACATACCTAAAATGATACAAGGCCATATATGACAGACCCATAGCCAACTCATACTGAATGGGAAAAATTGAAATCATTCCCACTTAGAACTGGAACCAGACAAGGCTACCCACTATCTCCACTTCTGTTCTAATAGTGCTGAAGTCTTGGCTAAAGCAATCAGACAGGAAAATGGAAATCAAGGTATCTAAATAGGGGCAGAAGAGATCAAAAACTTCACTGTTTGCTGATGATATAATATTATATCTAGAAACTCCAAGATTCAACCAAGAAACTCCTGGAACTGATCAATGAATTAGTAAAGTCTCAGGATACAAAATCAATACACAGAACATCAGAGCATTCATATTACGCCAACAACAATCAAATTGAGAACCAAATCAAAGACTCATTCCCTTCCAATAGCAACAAAGAAATTAAAAGTACCTAGGAATATACTTAACCAAGGAGTAAAAGACCTCTACAGGGAGAACTATGAAACACTGAGAAGGAAATAGCAGAGGATGTAAACAGATGGGAAAATCCATACCATGCTCATGGATCGCAGACTCAATATCATCAAAATGTCTATACTACCAAACTGATCTACAGTTCAATGCAATACCTATAAAATCCCATCAGCATTCTTCACAGATATAGAAAAAATAATTTTACGCTTTGTATGGAACCAAAGGAAGACCCCGAATATCAAGAGCAATTCTAGGCAACAAAAACAAAATGGGAGGCATTAATATGCCAGATATCAAACTATACTACAAAGCTGTAGTAATAAACTTCAATCTGGTATTGCACAAAAATAGGAATATTGACCAGTGGAACAGATGTGAGAATCCTGATGTAAACCATCCTCATATAGCCATTAATCTTTTCACAAAGCAGAACAAAACATACACTGGGGAAAAGAATCCCTCTTCAATAAATGTGCTGGGAAAACTGGATAGCCACCTGTAGAAGCTAAAGACAGACCCACACCTTTCACCTCTCACAAAAAATCAACTCACTCTGGATAACAGACTTAAACCAAGTATGAAACTATTAGAATTCTAGAGGAAAAAGTTGGAAACACTCTCTCTAGACCACGCCTGGGCAAAGAGTTTATGAAAGAAGTCCCCAAAGGCAATCACAGCAGCAACAAAAATAAATTAAATGGACATGTTAAACTAACAAAGCTTCTGCACAGCCAAGGAAATAGTCATGAAAGTAACAGACAACCTACAAATGGGAGAAATTTTTTGCAGCCTATGCATCCGAAAGGCTGATAATAGTGAATATACTTAGAACTCATGAAAATCAGAAACAAAAATCCAAATAACCCCATTAAAAGTGGCCAAAAGACTTGAACAGAAACTTTCTAAAGAAGACAGAAGAAATAGCAACAAATACATATGAAAAAATGCTCAACATCTCTCTAATATCAGGTAAATGCAAATCAAAACCACAGTGAGATGATCATTACATCCAGTGAGAATAGCCTTTATCAAAAAGTGTCTGAACACAATAAATGCTGGCGGTGGATGCGAAGAGAGGAACACTCCTACCTGCGGGGTGGACTGCAAACTAGTTCAACCTCTGTGGAAAGCTATATGGAGATACCTTAAAGCGATGCAAGTGAATCTACCATTTGATCCAGCAATCCATTGCTGGGCATCTACCAAGATCCAATGACACTCTACCAAAAAAGACATCTGACTCGAATGTTTATAGCAGCACAATTCATAATTGCAAGGCTGTGGAAACAGCCCAAGTGCCCATCAATCCAAGAATGGATTAATAAAATGTGGTATATATATAATCCAAGAATGGATTAATAAAATGTATACCATGGAGTACTATTCAGCTCTAAGAAACAATGGTGATATAGCACATCTTATATTTTCCTGGTTAGAGCTGGAACCCATACTATTAAGTGAAGTATCCCAAGAATGGAAAAACAAGCACCAACATATACTCACCAGCAAATTGGTATTAACTGAACAAGCACCTAAGTGGTCACCATAGGTACTACAGTTAATAGGGTAATTGGGCAGGTGGGAGGGGGATAGGGGCGGGTATATACATACATAATGAGCGAGATGTGCACCATCTGGGGGATGGTCATGCTGGAGACTCAGACTTGTGGGGGGAGGGGTGAAATGGGCATTTATTGAAACCTTAAAATCTGTACTCCCATAATATGCTGAAATAAAAAAAATTTAAAAATTAAATAAATAAAAAAAATGAAAATCTACGTTGTTACCATTTTAGCATCTTCCATATATATTTTAGTTTTTGAGCTGCTATCTCAGATAATTAGAGCTATCCTAACAGTTAACCGTTTGGACAGAAAGTTTGTGCAGATGTACCCTTTACAAAGTTGGACAGAGGGATTCAGTAGCTGTCCGCCATTAGGCGCTTTATCCAACCTTTTGTGGGATCTGGGCAAGGGCTGAAGCGATCACATTGGCCCGTTCTTCTGTCATGTTACTGAGCATCGACCCCAGAGAAAACACCACAACGCCATTTTCTCCGGAGCTCTGGACAAAGTCTTCCATCTCCTGTGAAGAAAGAATGTGTTCCGTCACAAACAGGTATTAGTACAACAAACACAGTTGAAAGGATTTTTATAAACATCTAAGAGAAGAAAATCAAAAATCAATAATTCCTCTTCTTTTGAAGAATTATTATAGTATGGGTTATTTTTTAACTGACCTAATCACAAAGTTTTGTGGAAATAAATGTGCTTTATGAGATAGGTGGCTTCTATTTTATATATCTGTGGAAATATGTGTTTGCATGTGTTTGCATGTATGTTGTGTGTGGGAGGAAGAAATGAAGTGGAGCTGTTACAATGTCGTTGGGAGAGATAATGCTAAAAACAAATTATAGCCAGACTTTTCATTTATATTATTATATTTACTAACATAGATTCTTGAATGTGGCTTCCCTTGGGTTTAATTGTATATGGTTGAAGCTCTCTACTAAATCACTTGTGTTCATTTCAGGCATTTTTCTGTAGAATTTTTTTAGTTTGTTGCCATTGTAGCCATTCCTTGACTATGAGCAAGGAGGAAATCTTACTAAGGTTTAGGATGATTTCTTACATATATTTCTTTAGTTCTATAATCTTTTATACCTCACTTAATAACTGTCACAGTTTCCCAGTCTTTTCCCCTAAAAAAAAAAAAAAAAGAATACATACACACACACACACACACATCTAAAAGCAGGAGGTAAAGAGTCACTGATATTTAGGATTATGATACTGTGGTTTGGACTTTTAGAGAAATAGTCCCAAGGGTCCCATTTATAATACATAATAATGAGGACATGGTAGAAAGTATCTAGCCATACTTAATAGTACAATAAAACATAACAGGGGGGATAATTTCTGAACAGCTCTTCTATACGATATATAGTTATACAGCTGAATGATCATATTTCTTATGTTATTGTGTAGATATGAGGCATTTTTTTATCCTGAAATTGCATGATTAAACTGATGAGCTATTTATAACTGGTGGGAGGGACTGTATTGTCCCCCCACAGCACCTGTGTCACACTGGAGAGAATCACCAGGCTTTGTATAACGGAGATCTGGTCACTGTCTTGAGGACTAAATCACTCTCTATAGAATTCCTGGTGATTATGTGCTTGCTTTGACTGAGAATTATTTTTACTGCTGTTTTCCATTGTGTGCCACATTTTAAATTGAAATACATTCTATACAGGAATAATTCCAAATTGCTCCAAGTATTCTCCCACCAAAGAAAAAAACAAACCAAAACAAACGAAAGAGAAAAAAAATAAAGGTAGAGTCAAGCGTTTCCTGGATATTACATCAAAATCATATTCTCATTTTTTGTTGTTGTTCCTTTCACATTAAATTCATGCTTTTGATTCTCTGTGAAATAATCATTCCTTCAAAATAACAAGTAAACTTTCATATATTAATCTTTGGAGTAAACCTTCTCTGTAAAACTGTGTTTAAAAAAATTCCAAATTTGAAAAATATAGTTTTAAGTAAATGACATTGGTTTTTATAGGGGAGTCAGCATGTTACTTTTCCACGTAATATATGGGAAAAGAGGATATTTGGTGTGAATCTAGTTCCCTGATGCTGCATTTCATGTAACTTGTTTTCATCATTTGTTTCCTGGGCTGACTGTCCCCCAAAACATTATGCGTCCATCCATTCAGTGTCGAACTAGAGCAACCTCTTTACAGATTCATCACTGATCTCATTCTGTTACATCTTTATGAAAATAATACAAGTTCAACGTAAGCAATTTTGTGATGGACTGGAAATGTAAAACAAAGATAATGAGTTTCACCCATATTCTGTACAGAGATACTCCCAATTAAATGTGTGTACTCTGGTTACAGTTTTTATTCTGTTTATATAACATAATATACTTATGTGACATATATTTAGAAAATTTTCATCTTATTTTATATACCTTTCCTCCTACAAAAAGTATGATATTGTTCTCTTCATTGTTTTGCACCTTAGTTTCCAACTAATGTTGCATTCTGCTGACTATTTATTTTATGGAAATATTATTGGTGTGGTATGGTATGCACATTGCATGAGTTTTTGATCATTTTTATGTAAGATATTTAAATTGCTTTCAGTGTTTATTTTATGAATATCTGCCACAAATATTAAATCTGCCCATCTTGATTTATTTTTTTCTCTGTACACTTTCATGTAAGTATACTGTGAAACCAGCAGCTATGTGCATTTTTAAAACACTTGGTATATTTTGCCTAATGTCTTACTATCTTATTAATAAGACACACAAGCAGTATCTGAGAATCTAATATTTAGTGGAAAAGCAAGAAATTTGGGGTCACAATTAATAATTAGAGAACAGATTTCAGATTAATAATAGATTAATCAGAACAGATTAATAATAATTAGAGAACAGATTTCACAACTATTGACTTCAAATCATTATGCAAGTTAATGGCTAGTATTAGTAATGATCACTATTGCACTACTAGTGAGCCTACTCCTTGTCCATCTCATCATATTCTCTTCCCCCTCCTACTGGCAACATCACCTTCCCTTAATGTGAATGGGGATATTTATTGAGAATATGGTTAGATAGCACAGAATTTCATTAATCTTACATCTTCTTTTGTCCCTTATGGAATTTACCATAATCAGTTTACATTCAACATAGATATTGAGTTTTACCTTTGAATACGGTTTCAGTTTTATGTTGGTGCTAATAAGAAGGTAGACAATGAGACTGCAAACTAGTTGACCCTCTTTGGAAAGCAATATGGAGATACCTTACAGCAATACAAGTGGATCTACTATATCATCCAGCAATCCCATTACTGGGCATCTACCCCCCCCCCAAAAAAAAGTCACTCTATGAAAAAGACACCTAAACTCGAATGTTTATAGCAGCACGATTCACAATTGCAAAGCTGTGGAAACAACCCAAGTGTCCATCAATACATGAGTGGATTAACAAAATGCCATGGAGTACTAGTCAGCTATAAGGAACAACAGTGATATAGCACCTCTTGTATGTCCCTGGATAGAGCTGGAACCCATTCTATTAAGTGAAGCATCCCAAGAATGGAAAAATAAGCACCACATGTACTCACCAGCAAATTGGTATTAAGTGATCAACACCTAAGTGGACATATACGAATACCATTTATCTGGTGTCGGGCAGGTGGGGGGGAGGGGATGGGTATATACATACATAATGAGGGGGATGTGCACCAACCAGGGGATGGACATGCTTGAAGCTCTGACTTGAGGGGGAGGGGGCAAGGGCAATATACGTAAGTTTAAGAATTGTACCCCCACAATATGCTGAAATAAATAAATAAATAAATAAATGAAAAGAAGGTAGACAAAAAAGATCTTGTAAAAGTTCACATAATAGCACACTAAAAAGCTCATTTTCTCCTTTTTTCTTAAAAGTATGATATTAAAGTAAAATATATCAGGTTCTCAATTTCCATCATAAGGAATATTAGTTTATATTATGGCAGAATTGTTTTGTAAATCAAATCTAAGGTCACTTTTCAGATACAAGTAACAGAATTTAGTTGGTCTTTGTTATATGTGGACTGTACATTTACTGTCACTTTCTCTGTTAGGCAATTATGATGTTGAGACAAAAGTTTCCCAGGCAGCTTTATTGAGGTGTCCTACAGACTTGCCCTAAGGCCGGAAACACCTGCTCTGATAAGGTAAACCTTCCCTTTTGTGCTCTAAGGGGTAAAACTCTGGGATCTCAATGGGGAATGATCTCAATGCTGGAGTGAAACAAGAATAAGCTAGAATAATGGTGAAGAGCCTCAACTCTTACAATAAATAACCAAAACCAAACAAATAGGAATATGTTCACCTTAGGCAGGGTTTTGGCAGGTTTGCAATGGAGTCCTCCAACGAATTCAATATTTGGCAAGAGTGGGCGAGGAAATTCCAAATCCCAATAGGTTCGAATAAGCCACATATCAGCTCTCTTCATTGTCTCATATAATGTAGTGGGTCTGCCTGAAGGGGAGACAGAAAAGAAAACATAGTTGACACAAGAGAGTTTTCATGAGAATATAAAAGTAATTTCCTGAAAGGAGTTGTAATAATGTAGCCAAAGATATATAAAGTGTTTGTGTTTTGATAAAACATATACACATATTGATATACAGGCATGATTTAATTCCCATGTACTCTATATGTTGCTCATAGGTTTAAGAAAAGCAAAGTGCTAAGAGAATTTTTAGAGGAGACTATATGTCACATCACATCAGCATATTCACAATCATCAGTATATATTAACAGAAGCCACTGTGGAATTCGCCATGCAATTGTTTATTTTCTAAAGCTGCAATAGGAACAAATATACATGAAAAAAATCTGTGAGCTCCACTATCAGTTTTTCCTACCAAACTGATAAAAACTTCCTTCTAATAAGTACTCAATTTTGGTTCTTCTATTTATGAAGCTAGTGTCATGATCCTTGGTTTGCCAATTATATCAAGAGTTTTTGTGAAAATATGGTTGAAATCCTCCTTCCTATTACTACTTTTGGTTCATGTGAAGATCTTAATAATATTAGTATTTTAAAAATAAATATACTTGGAAATGACAGGTGGAAATTTTCAAAAGTTATAGAAATGAATAATTTTTGCTCCCCCTTCATTTAGCTCATATTTTTCATAATGTAGAGGTATATTTTAATAAAATATAGATGATATTGAAAGTTCACATCCCAATAAGATTTTAGCCCTTAAAATAAATAATCTCCAAGCCTTTGGTGAAGGAATGCAGAAATATTAGAAATCTCAAATTTTAGGTATCTGTGTTTGAGACAGAGCCATCTCTTAACTGTGAAGGAATTCTTCTGATATAGCAAAAGATATTTTAATTTCTAAATAAGGAAAATAAGGTATACAAGGAGAAACGATTTCCCCAATGCTACATTGGTAGTTGTGCCAGAACAACGTGTGATTCCTCAGTCTACACGTCTACCTTCATCTAGATGTTTCTAGGTGTGTCTATTAACTTTTATTAAAGATGAAAAGACTGGATAGTACAATGGATATGGGATTGCTTGAAGAAATCGTGAATGGGTTAATTTGTACATTGATGACTTCATGAAGTGGGTTATAGGAGTGATGGCCACAAGGTTCTAAGTGATCCAATAATCTGTCGATTATGTTTGTGTGATTGATAGATCATCTTATATTTTCCATCAATTGTTTCAAGTTCAAAAGATACAGTCCTCTGACTTCATATTCATACAAGCTCACCTTTCAATTCACAAGGAAAGATAGGAATTAATAATCACGAATTAAAAACATGACTTACCCAGTACTTCACTGTAGAAGTGATCCCACTCCTTCATATTAAATGTTTGGAACCAAAAGTCAAAATAAAGCACATATATCATATTTTTTACCCTCTCCATGAATGTCATTTGATCATTTAATTCTGACAGAACAACAGGTACATAGGAAGGAGGGAATAGAAGTCCTCCACTGGACTTTTCAAATTGGTAGCCAGGAGAGTAGCGGAGACTGTACACAAGGGGTGTTTTAAGTATCTCAGCCAGCAGCTCACCACAGGGAGTAATGGCATCTGCAAGAACCACATCAAACTTTGACTCTTGTAGCCTTGTCATAAGTTTCTTGTTTAAAACTGCATCTTTACAGATTTTCATCATGATTTCAGAAAATTTCCATGTGATTTCTTGTACCTGTGAAAAATATGACCAAAATGTATCTTTTGGAAGATCATATATCCATTTATTGATCAGTTGTATGATAACATCTTCAAAATCACTTTTAGTTAAAGATGTAGGAAAAACTTCAAACTTAATACTGGTTGCTTGTTTCGGATCAACAAGAATGGAAACAGAATGTGTCAATACAGTCACCTCATGACCCCTCTGGACAAGTTCATCCAGGATTGTCTTCATGTTCATCCAGTGGCTGTATTCTGTGGGCCACACCAGCACCTTTCCACAAGTCCCAGAGCTAAAGTGACCACTCAGTTGCATCAGCAGGAGAACTGAAGCCAATTTCATAGCCATCTTGGTGAAATGCAATGCTTATTATTCGAGTTGCTGGTCCTTTCTGTCATTTCTCATGCTTAAAACCAAGAGTAAATTAATTAAGGTAAAATTTAACTCCTGCATTCAAAGTAAGTCCATCCTCTGAGCAGTCTGAGAGTGTGGCTGCCAAGTGGACAGAGCAAAGGCAGATGACTTCGTGTTCACTCAAGTGTGTTTAACGTCCCTTTCTGTTTATAAATGCATTAATCCAGCTAACTTTGATGACCTTGCAAGTGCAAGTAACATGTCTTATGTCATATATTTTAGAGTTCTGTCAAAAATGGTGGCAAGTGAGAGCCTCCTGGGTCTGCAGTCCTGTCACACAGAACTAGAAATAAAATAATTATACAGCTGAGTCAGTATTTCTCGCATATCATGGCTCGAATATTTTTTTGTAAAACTTTTGGTATATAATGCACATTCCATATTATTCACTATATTGTTTAAAATTCAATATTTCTTAGTATATTCACAGAATTGCGCATCTACTACAACAAATACTTTTATCTCCCTAAAAGAAACCCTGTGCACTTTTACTTTTATCTCCCCACTCTGCATATCCCCATCCTGTCTGCTCTAGGCCATCATTAATTTAGTTTTTATATCTATAAGTTGGCTTTTTCTAGATTGTTTGATAAAGAGAATAAAAAATATGTGGTTTCTGTGATTGGCATTTTTCACTTAGCATAATGTTTCAAGAGGATCATCCATGCTATTCCTTAGTGCCAAATAGTATTCCATAGTATGGATATAAATATTTCATTTATTCAGTTATCAAGTGATGGACATTGATTCTGTTTGGTTTTTGGCTTTTATGAATAATGTTGTTAATCAGCATTCACGTACAAGCTTTGCATCGACATATTTTAATTTCCCTTTGGTATGTGCCTATAAGTAGAATTACTGGGTCATATCCTACCTGTATGCTTATCCTTTGGGGAATTGCTAGACTGTTTTCCGCATTGGCTGCACCTTTTTTCATTCCCATCAGCCTTCTATGAGGGCTTCAATTTCTCCACATCCTGGCAGCACTTTTTATTATAGTCAGTGAGAGTGAAGTGAAATCTCATTATGTTTGACATGTGCTTGTTTTCTAAAAGTGCTGAGAGTATTTTTCTTGTGCTTATCATCCATTGTATATTTTTCTTGGCAGAATTTCTATTGAAATCGCTTGTTCCTTTCTGTTTTGCTTGTTTGTCTTAGTATTGAGTCATATTTTAATATTTTTATTTTCTCATTGAGTTATGTTTTTAAAAATATATTTTTTAAATAGTCTTTCATTAGACATATAATTTGTTCTCTTGTCAACAAGGAAGATGAGAGTCATCTGTTTTTCAGTAGTTTAATATTAAAAGAATTTAAATTATATAACCAATGTGAAACCTGCTTTATTTTCCACCAGTAGTTAATATTGAAAGAATTTAAATTATATAACCAATGTAAAACCTGCTTTTACTTTCCAACTGTAGTTAATATTGAAAGAATTTAAATTATATAACCAATGTGAAACCTGCTTTTATTTTCTACCAGTTATTTGAAAGTTGCATTAAACTCTATAAATTTAATGAGTAATCAATTAGTGCAAAGATCATCTACATAAAAAAAAAAAAAAACTATTCAGGAGGGTACAGAAAATATCTCCTACGTGCTCCAAATAACCCCACATGGCCTTTGCCTTCAGAACAAGCAGTCCAGGCCGGGGTGAAGGGCCAACCGAGGACAGGAAAACTGATTTTGCTGTGATGCCAAGGGTAGCTGCGTCCTTCGTGGCCTGAGCTGCCTGACGATGCCCCTTGCCACCAGACTGTCTGTCTGCTCATGACCAAGGCAATGAACTGCAGCTACTTCCTCGGGGGCTAAAATGGCATCTAGCAAGGCTAGGATTTCTTTGGTATATTTTATTTCTTTATTACTGGACTTGAAGTGTCCCCTTTATTTCCAGATCACTCATGTGCATGAACAACAGGAAAAGCATACCTGGAATCCAGGTAATGGTCACTTGTGTGCCTTTATCTAGTTGGAGTGCCAGACAACGATTGCGAGTTCTGCCTTCTGTGTCGAGCTTCCAGAAGGGAGGACTTCAGCCCTAATATCTGTTGATGGGTTATCACTGCATACCCAGCTCTCCATTGTCCCTGGTCCATAAAGCTACTTCCATTGATAAATATCTCCAGGTGTGGGATTTCCTAGGGGTGTGTCAGTTAGATCCAGCTGACTAGAATCAACTCATTCAATTATTTGTAAACAGTCATGCACACGTTCACATGCCATTAGGGGAAGGAAGGTGTCAGGATTTAAGGTAGAGTCTGCTCTCAGTGTTATATTTGGAGTGTCCAAAACGATGGTCTGGTGTTTCTCAAGCCTCCCAGAGGCCAGCCAGTATTCTCCTGTCTGTTCCAGTAAGGGGAGCACACAGTGGGGTGTGCAGAGTGGTGGGCTGGCCTATTGTAAACTTCTCTGCCTCTTGACGCAGGTGACAGGCACCAGCAATAGCCCGAATGCAAGAAGGTCATCCCTTTGTGACAATGTCCTCTTGCTTGAGAAATAAGCAATGGGTATCTTAATATTTCCCAGATCCTGAGTCAGTACTCCTAGAGTCAGTACTTGCTTCTTATGCACAAAAACATCAAAAGGTTTTAATACATCTTGGAGTCCCAATGCTGGGGCACTCAACAGTTATTCCTAGATATTTTTAAAAGCCCTTGGCAGTCCCCAGTTAACTCTAACAGTTCATTATCTCCTCCCCTTAAGGCATCATACAGAGGCTTAGCAATAAGTCCCAAGTTGGGAATCCAGACGTGACAGAAACTGGCCACGTCTCAGAAACTCCACAGCTGTTGTCAAGTGAGAGATCTGACTGCTCTGCAAAGGGCCTCCGTCCAATCAGGGAGCAGGTTTCTCTGTCACTGGGAAAACCTGAACTCAAGATATTTAACTGAAGGCCGTAAAATCTGAGCCTTTTTCTTGGATACCTTGGATACAGCCAGGAAGTTTAGAGTTACAATAGTGTTCTTGTTGGATGCCTTTTTTGCGGTGCCGACAACTAGTATGTCATCAACATATTGCAGTAAAGTCCTGATTTAACTGAGGTCTCAGAGGTCTTTCCCAGGAATCTCCCCAAGAATGGGCGGCGAGTTTTTAAAGCCCTGGGGAAGAGCTGCCCAATAGTGTTGTTGCCTTGATTGCATATCTGGGTCCTCCCATTCGCAATCTAGCAGTTCCTGTGAGTCTGGGCTCCCAGGGATGCAGAAGAAGCACCTTTTCAATCTGAGACCCTGACCCAGCAGAGCACACCAGTCAGGGTTGTGAGCAGTGTGTAAGGGATGGACAGTTTTCAACAGAAATTAAAACTAGGAAATACTATACCCAAATGATGGAAAGAATTCCAAGCATGTGTAAAACAACATTAATACTGAGCAAGGATATATTGATGGTCTCATGTTCATGGACAATATGGAAATGTTAAAGTTTGATAAATAGTTTTGATATAATATCTGAATTGGAATAGTGCATATCTCCATAAACCCATATCATATTTAATTTTTTTACTTTTCTCCTAGCTCTTCTTTTCTCTTCACAATAAAATATTTCTAACTTTTAAAGAAGTATCAACTGTGACATAAACAAACTTTGATCTGACAACCTTCATCCTGAAAAGACAAATGGTCACAGGAGGAAGGTAACCTTACATCAGAATCTCTTCTTGCTCGAATAAACTGAAGGATTCCCATCTTTCAGGGATTCCAGCTTCAAACCCAGATCTAATTATTCCCTTTTTGCCTTCTTCCCTGCTGTAGCAATCATCCACCAAAAACACATAGAACATTTCATGATGACGAATATAGCAGTGGCCACACAGGCCAGCAGGAACCCAAGCACATCCAGAGAGTGGTACTGGAACCAGGGGAGGTCGTGGGCTGCAACCCGAAGGTGTTTGGCTCCTTTGTGGCGCATGACAAACTCGATCCAGAAGACTGCTCGATCGAGAGGCTTCACTGGCTGATCATGGTGAATTCTTGATAATTTCATAGCATTCTCTTTATACCTGGAAAAAAAGTCATAAATATTCTGACATTGAAAGTAAGCTTATTGGCTACCCACATCAAATTCATGAATGGTTTTGGAAAAGTGTCAACCAAATGACTCAAGGGAAATGTAACAATATTGACATAGAATTTGAATGTTTTGGGTCATCATAGCCAGTTTGATTTTTAAATTGGAATTTTATCATTAAAAAAATTTTTAAAGGGAAAATGTGAGGCCAGGTGCAAAAGCTAGTATCTTTCTAGCAGAAGAAATATTATGAGTCATCCCATGTGCTGTAAGTAAGGCAGTGGAAATGCAATCTGAGAATGAGCATCTTGATGTTTTCAAAGGGAATCATGTCCTGGTGGTTGAAATGGCCCCTGAGAAGTCTTTCTGCTTCTATTCTACTTTTCTGAACTCCTGACCTTGAGCAATGCGCCCGCCTCAGCCTCCCAGAGAGCTAGGATTACAGGTGTGAGCCACCGCACCCGGCTACTTTTCTGTCTTCACTCTCTGAAATAGAATTTTCTCCAAAGAAGATATGGGAATGACCGGTAAGCAGAGGAAGAGATGCTCAACCTTTAGCCATAAGAGAAATACAAATTAAGACTAATGAGAGACTACTTTACTTACACTCTAATGGCTGTAATGAAAAGACAGATGAGAAGTGGAAACAGTATGAAGGAACTGAAACCCTCCTGTACTGCTGTTAGTAATGAAAAATGGGGCATGAACATTGGAGAATCATTCAGCAGTTTTTCACAAAAAAATTTTCCATAGGGCCCAGCAATTCCACTAATTATTTCTACTGTCATAATATGAAAAACATATTTTTACACAAAAATGTGCATAACAATGTTTATAACTGGAACAAACAAAATATCCCTGAGCTGCTAAATGGATGGATTAACTATGTTATTATCATATACCAAAGGACATTATGCAGTAATAAAAGGGAAGAAAATACTGATAAATTCAAACACATGGATAAAACTAAAAACAATTATGCCTAGTGAAAAAAAACTATTTACAAAACACCATAAATTGCATGGTCCATTTATGTCAGAATTCTAGAAAGGGTAATTCATAGAGACAAAAATAAATTGGTCTTTACCTGGCATTAGGGTCTTATTGGAAAAGATATCTATGCCCTATAAAGTTTCTTTGGGGTTGACACAAAAGTTCTAAAATTATATTATGGTCATGGCTTCATGATTCTTTAAAAATACTAAAAATATTTAAATTTTATACTCTTAAATAGGAAAACTTTATGCATTATAAATTATATCTCATCATCAAAGTTATTAAAGTAATTATAATATAAAAGTAAATTTCGGGGCAATAAAAAAGTGACACATTCGGAAATTTTAGAAATTGAATTAAAATATTTTATCATATTTGTAAGTTCATTACCTTTTTAACTGTGAATTCTGTCTTGTTTTTTAAAATTTATCCTTTTTTATACTTATCTATATATTGGAAATTATACTTATGTAGAAGATTTTGCACTAATTGTTTACTGATTACATTTATAGAGTTCAACGCAACCATGACATAAATGGTGGAAAATAAAAGAAGATTTTACATTGGTTATATAATTTAAATTCTTTCAATATTAATCTACTGAAAAGGGGATGAATCTCATCTTCCTTGTTGACAAGAGACCATATCTATCAATAGCACTTATTAAAGGAAATAGTATACTCACATAGGGTCATTAATGACTGTCCTCAAAGCACTGAGCAAATCTGTACTTGACATTGTGTTGAAGTCCACTCTAACAGCTGCCCCCTTGGCCTTCATGTGAGCAACGTTGTCTGGTTGATCCGCAAACAAAGGGATGCCCACCATGGGGACCCCGTGGTAGATGGCCTCATAGACGCCATTGGCTCCACCATGAGTTATGAAGGCCTTGGTTTTTGGATGACCTAGTATTGGGTGAATATCAGTAGAATTATTCACTATGAGTCCTAGGAATAAAATGGGAAGTGCAGAACACAGGACACTGAAAGTGGTAATGTTTTCTAGGTAACAGGTTAGAACACCCACGGCACTGCCCTGAAATTGCTGTCAGATTTCAGAGGAGGAAGCACCTACTTTTGCTGGAGAGGAAAGTGAGGCCTGCATGGAAGAAATGGTGTGGGACTCGAGAATGGAAAAATGGATACAAGATTAGTGAGCAGAAAAGATGAAAAGGCATATTTT